TTTCCTTTTATTTGTAACATAAATCCTACTCTTGCTACACTGGTTTTCACTAAGATGGCCATGTCTTTGTTATCCTCACCTCATGCTTCTGGCTTGTTTATTGATTCTCATTTCTGTTTGTCAATAAGGGCAGGTTGTAATTACAGAGAAATATGGTGCACATGGGTGTAATGTTGGTGAGGACGGTGGTTTTTGCTCCAAACATCTCCAGGCAAGTTTTTCCTTGTATATGGTGCTTTTTTTTTAGTGGTCAATTGGTGATCTTAGTATTCTTCATTTGCAGCTTTAGAGAAGGTCTAGATCTTGTTAAGGAGGCCATTAGCAGAACAGGGTATAATGACAGAATAAAGATAGCGATTGATGTTTCTGCTACTACTGATTTCTGCATAGGTGATGTTCCGATTTCCACCTTGGTGCCACACTAGTGACTGATCATAACCCATGAAAGCTGCAATATCTCTAGCATCACTTGTAGGTTTTTTAGTCTTAACGTATACAATAACTGTCTGACACAGTAAGATTATTGTTTGGCAGACATTTGTTGTATGAAATACTTTTTGGACAAGTGACTTATATGCAAATGCTTATGTGGTGGAAGTTTTGTTTTCCTCAATTAAATCAGATCAGCTGTCTATTGATCTTGCATTTTTAGCCAATATGATGTCATTTGGTCCCACATGTATTTCTTGATTATTAATAATTTGACTCGTGTTTTTTATCCTGATTTAGGTACAAAATATGATTTGGATTATAGATCTCCACATAAATCAGGACAAAATTTTAAGTCAGGAGAGGATATGATTGCGATGTACAAAGAACTGTGTGCAGGTATATGTGTGATTCGTTTGTTGGTTTTTAGCACTAGACAAATTTGGCTAACATGGTTCTGATTACATTTTTTTCCCTTTTCTTGGGAATGCTCTGGTCGTCTTAGAATACCCTATTACCTCCATTGAAGATCCATTTGACAAGGAGGATTGGGAACATGTCAAGTATTTTTCTGGGCTAGGGATTTGCCAGGTTTGTTTGTTGCTCTTTAGTAGTATTCACATGCAACCTCTGTCCTCTGAGCAACTTGAGCTGCAGAAGGATAGGAGCTGAGGTTGAGATCCCAACATGGGGTGGCCACTTATTGTTTTTTCAATTGATTTCTTTTTGCTACTGTAGAATACCAGGATCCTTTGAAGCTGCAAAGTCATTTTCTTCAGACATATATGTGTATCTGTGGATACTAACTGTTAGGTTGAGTGGTATCTCTGTCACCCAAAGGAGTTGTGAGGTTTCAGTCCCAGAGTAAGACATGATTAAATTTTTTATTATTTACCAAAACTTATTTTAAACAATGAAAACAACAGTAATTCCGGGTTTGTTGATTAACAATTGATTTTCACCTTAAGGTGACGACGGAGTGCTTTCTAATACATTGAATAAATGCTAGCTTGTAAACTAGAGAACCCCGGAGGAAAAAGGGTGATGTTTGACTCTTACATATCATGCTTGCACCTCTCTGACTTGGATTTGGAGAAGAATTCAGTATTGATATATGCAACTAATGAATTAAGGACGATGCACATCACAGAAGCATCCAGAAAGCGAGATGCTGAATATTTTGGTCGTCTACAGATTTTAGGCTATCAACATGTAATTTGCGAGTTTGCTAGAGTATAATTTGAGGATTAGCTGATTAGCTTCCTATTATTGAGTGGCCTTTAGTTGTAGGCAAGTGTCGACATTTGAACTATTATGGGGCTATGCCTACCCTTGTCGGAGTTTTTAAGTTTTATATGTCCCAGGATCTATTGGCTTTTCTCTTTATTTATGCCAAATTGATCTCATAGAGAGTGTTCTTTTGCAGGTTGTGGGAGATGACTTGCTGATGTCAAATCCAAAACGCATTGAGAAAGCCATACGTGAATCTGCTTGCAATGCTCTTCTTTTCAAGGTACCTGCTGATCTATGAGACATTGCAGGCTGTTCTGATACTATGATGGCTAAATGTCCTGAAGTCTACAGGCTTAGTTTTCTTTCATCACCGCAAGGTTTCCTCCTTTAACAAGTATTGCACTATAAAGAAAATTGGACAGACTATTTCTTTGATTTGCATTTATGACAATCAACTTACAATCAACCCATCCAGTTAGTTAAACGTCAGTTGACTAACCAAATATATCTCCACTAATCCCTAAATTACCCTTGTATCAGATTTTAACTTCTTTTTCATTTATATTAAAATGTTTTAAACCCGAGAAATACAACTCAACTTCCCTCGTGAAACCAATGCCCCCTTACCCCCGATACTATCCCTACCTCTCTCTCTCTCTCTCTCTCTCTGTCACACACACACACATCTCTCTCTCTCTCTCTCACACACACACACACACTCTCTCTCTCTCCATGACCCACTCCAAGATGCAACCCTCCATCAACCCCCACCCCACCTTCTCCTCCTTACCAGCACCACACTAGAACAATCACGAAAATCTGTTACTAAATGAATGCAAATCCTCATCTATCAACACATACATGCTGTATATATTTGCATATGTATATACTATTGGAGAGGAGGAGGGAGGACCTTGGGGTTGGTTTCAGGGGAAGGGTTTGGTGATTTGGTTGTTATGGAAGAGGGGGTTGCTTCAAGGGGGTAGCTTGTGGGTGGGCATGTTTCGTGATAGAGGGGGGAAGGGGTGGTTCCAGGGGATCGGGATAAGGGTGGTTCAAGGGGGAGAAAGGAGGGGATTTTGGGGTGGGTGGTAATTAGTGGGAAGGAGGGGGATTCAGGGTGGTGTGTAGGGGGTAGGGACTAAGGTTAGATGGTTTTTTTTTTGGGTGGGGGGTTGGGAGGAGAACAAAGGGTGATGTGGGGTGAGGGTGTTGGTCAATCATGTGGAGTTGGGTCTATATTAGTTGGGTTCATAGTTTGTTTGTGGTTGGGTTTTATTTGATTTTGACCACCAAAGGGTAAGGTTGTCGTTTTGTTGTTTCTCTCAATTTGTTTAGTTAAACCTATATCAAATGCTTTTGATTGCCATTTTTGGAACCTCGAGGGGTGGAGTATATCAAGCGCTAAAAGAAAAATAGTAAGTGGTGTCCATATGATCAGCATTTCGGGTTGAATGTGTGACCAATAATTGAGGTGCCCAAAGGTTTGAAATACTGAACATGTTCAATTGATAAAAAAGAAAAATGAGAAAGGTCACCAGCTCTTATTTGATAAAAGAGGATATCAACACCTACCTGATAGCTAGCCAATGGAAGATTATTGGTTTTGTTTTCTGCTGATTTCACAGAGACATCCTCTGTCTGAGTTTTTGAATTAACTGAATCTCTTAGCAGCTTGTTTCCCCCTCCTCCTCCTGCCCCACACTTTCTCTTTGTGGCAGTACACTCCCCCATTCACTCGCAATGCTTCCTTGCAAAGAGCAGCATTTTTTAATCTTTTTTTACATTGAACTGAAATTTGGGGCTCTTTTCCGGGTAAGTGTTACAATGCTTTATGTCCAAGAGATTATAGAGTCAATTGTGACTCTTATTCAAGTCCAAAAGTCAGAAATTGCGACTGACACAATGGATGGTAACTATTCACTTGTATGCTACAACACACATGATGCATTTTAACATGCTCAACTGTTGCATAGTTATGATGGCTAGGAAAGGACCCTGTACGGCTAAACACTGATAACATTGGTGCTGTACTCAGGTGAATCAGATAGGGACAGTTACAGAGGCCATTGAAGTAGTGAAGATGGCAAAAGATGCCCACTGGGGAGTGGTGATAGGTCAAAGAAGTGGAGAAACCGAAGATTCTTTCATAGCCGACTTATCTGTTGGCCTTGCCGCAGGTCAGATCAAAGCTGGTGCACCTTGCCGAGGAGAGCGACTAGCTAAGTACAACCAGGTTCGGTTAATTTTCATAGAGTGCATTTACAATTCTTTGATAGACATATTTAGCTTCTTTTAACTCAAATCTAGATCACTCTCTTTTCTTTTCTTTCTTGGATGGGGGTTGAGAGCATGAAAATTGATCTTAATATGTATTCACAAGGGACAAAAAGCTAAACTCACATATGGATAATGGGGAGACAACTTTTACCAACATTCAGCTTAACGTAAATTGAAAATCTGGACATAAAATAAAGCTGTCAACATGATTTGATCTAGTAATTGCCTTTTGTAGTATTAAATTTGTGGGAGCAACATGACGCGATAGCACAAGCTGCATGAGAACTTACCTTTCCTGTTTACAATTTCATGTTACTAATATGGCTACATTCACCATTATTATAGAGGTTCACGAAGAGCAGTGTTGAATTCCTACAACTTACGTGCAAGTATTTGAGTCCAAACATCCTGTCGGCTAGATATTCGATGAATCCAATGATCTCTTGATCTTATTCCAAATGCCACTTGTTTAACTTTATAGTTTGTGGAATGATCCTAATTTTGCTTCTTTGCCTCACTCTATTTTCTCGTTTTCCTTGTTGGCAGGTGCTTTTCATGGTTTCCTTGAATTTTTTTTATTTTTTTAGTGTTAAAAACCTCCAAATCAAGTAGCACACAACATGCCTTCATGTCTAGAGATTACTCTTAAAGAACGCCCACGACTCAACAAAGCCTGGTTCGGGGACAGGAATTTTTTTTGGCATTTAGCTCCATCTAGGGCCTGATTACTCTAAAACATCTATGAACCATGATTACTTACTCAGCATATATATATATATAAAATTCATGCGCATGGTCATTAACTTCCTAGTCTCAGCATCCCAATATCTCGTTTGTTGAAGAAATGAACTGGAAATTCAAATTAACAGGCAAAATTTTTCTGCAGCTGCTTAGAATTGAAGAAGAGATCGGTGACCAAGCAGTGTATGCTGGTGAGGATTGGAGACAGTCTTGATCTCATGTTTTTGTTCCCATTTTTTCTTCTTGAGAACTTCAGTTATCTGAAGCTTACCAATGTAGTAGCTGTTGTCTCAATGTTTCTTTTCACATAGACTTTGATATGCAAGTAAGTTGCAGTTTTGTTGATAGTTGCGGGGCTTTTGTTGAGTGAGATTGCATTTTGTTTTTCTTGTAAGCCAAATTTCTGAAAATTTGAGTGTATTATTTGATGATACGAGATTTGGGAATGCAACCTTTTTTTCTATTTTACTATAGAAAAGCAGTTGATCCAGGATGCTTCAGCGCAACCTCACCACCTGTGTTATTTGCAATTACATGAATCAGCCTCTTCTCAGACATGGCACAAGGGCCTTGCAATTTGGTTGAAAATCCAAATTTGAAAAACGCTGAGCTACATGATACATACGAATTGTTCAAAAATAAAATTTTGGATACGTAGGTTTGAGAATTTGCTGGTTTTTCCATTTTTTTAAAAAAGAAAAAAAAATTCTTTTCATTATCTTTAACTTGGTTGACTTGATCACTCGAATTGCTTGCTTGCACATGTAGAGTCCTCAAATAAACACAAGTATAAGAAAACCATTTTTGCTACAGGTACCGTTCAGTACAAGAACAAACAAAGCTATCAGTTGAAAATAAAATGCTGAACATTTTAACTTATGGCTTTGTCTCCTCATCATCCTCTTCAATCTTAGGAGCCAAGTAGAACCTGAGATAACCCATCTCAGCAATCTTGTACTCGACCACAACAGGAAGCTCAGAAGACAAGCTGATGGTAACCGTGTTTGACAGTGGAGTCGCCTTGGTGAAAGAGTTCATGTACCTTAGGGCAAATGTCAATGACACTGGCTCGTTCATCTCGATAGTTGTAGCTTCCTCTGGCTGCAAATTATAAAACAGATATATATCAAATCCATTAAAAACACAATTCAATTAACATACAGAATACATAAGGCCCAAGGAAAATACCTTGTCTACTGTGGTATTTTGCCGGCAGACAATATTAGCAGTTCCGATATCACCTCTTGTTGAGAACTTTACTCCTTCCTTTGTCACAGAGATCACAACTGCAAGCAACAATTAATCCAAAATTTACCAACTCGAACCCATTCATTAATAGACTCCAGGAAATGCCTATAACTAACAAATTACAGGAAGACAATACACCACCAATGTAATACCAGTATCACCAATGCTGCTGAGATCTTTACAAATTCTTGCAAAGTCAGACGAAGGCATACGAACAATAGCATGGAACTCTGCCTCGGGAATTCCTAGGTGCTCACTATCGATATCCATAAGCTTCATCTCAAAATCCGCAATCTTATCTTGTGCTGAATCATTCCATCACATACAACCCAAGGAAATCAAAACAACATCAGCAAAATTATAAACCAGACGTAGAAACATCATACCACAACACAGGAAAAACACGCAATTTAAACAAATATCCCAAACTAACTAACAAAGATTAGCCAAATCCCCTTTTTAGTTCTAAAGATTGAAGAACAAATTCCTTTTTCCATGGTGAATGAACTAATCAATGAAGCACTTCAATTTTTTATTTCTTATTTTTTCCAAATCATTTTCCAGCAACCAAACACATCAATTTTTTCTCCATAAAAAATTCACAAATATAACAAACAACAAAAGGAGAAAAATTAAACATAATTCAAAGACCAATCAATCAAACCAAAATCAAATTTTCCACAAGACGACAAGAAATTTCCAGTACTAGAGCCAAAAAAAACCCAGAAAAACCCAAAATTCCAGCCTAACAAAAAAGAAATCAGATTAAAAAACAACTAAATATTAAACTAAACTTACTGGGGCTTTCGAACATGAAGGTAACAGTATCGCTCCCATCATCACCCTTAATAGTAATAATATCATCATTCCCAGCACACTTCAGAATCTTAGCCATATTGCTCAAACTCATCCCCATGGAAATGTTACGGTCACATCGGTAGTGCTCAAACCCCTCCGATCTCAGTAACAGAGACACCAGCGCCACGTGGCTCGAGTCCATGGCCTGCAGAGAAAACCCAGTGGCCGAGCAGTCGAAGTTGGCATCGTTCACCAAGTCCTTGATGGCTTCCAGAACCTTCTTCAGAAGGCTGCCTTGAACAAGCCTGAGTTCCAACATTTTCTCAGTTGGTTTGGGTTGGTTGAATTTTTCCGGGAAAGTTTCGAGGGTTTCCCGGGAAAGTATTAGGGCTAGGGTTTCAAAATGAAATCGAAAGAAAAGAGTGGGAAAATTGAGTGTGAGAAAAAGGGTTGACTCTTATAATATGAGTGGGCCGAGTTTGGAAAGCTAGGCCTTTATTGGCGGGAGGGCTACAAATGGAAATGACAAAATTCCCGCCATAATTTAGAACAGTTGGATATTGTGGGCCTTGTACCTGGGCTACATGTGTGGGTAATTAGCCCAAAGATCAATATGGGGCCGTTTAATCGGTCACTAAAACATGAGACGGACTTCCCACAAACCATGAACAATTTTGAAGGTTCTGATATGCTATCTGCTTCCTCATCGAATGGCTATTAGGGATGCTTCCCTTGTTTTGCATAGATGAGGTTGTTGCGATAATGATGTAAGGAGGATGCGACGTTGGTTGGAGGTGCGGTTATGATACAATTGACAACTGATGTTGGTAGAATCGAAAGAATCAGAGAGAAAAATAAGTAACAAAAATGTTTATCGTGGTCATTATAATTTGACGGTAAATTTTTTTATGTCAATGTCCAATATCACTGTTTATATTTATTTATATCTCTACGTTCAAATTGGAATGTGAAATTTTCATATTACTGTTCTATGCTATTGTCTATTTTTTAATATCACTAAATGTATTATTAAGAATAAATTAGTTTTTATAACTTCAATTATCCTCTAAGCCCCAAAAAAAAAAAAAAAACTCGAACAAAAAAGTTTAGAAAAAAAAAAAAGAAGGAAATAGTTTAGCAGTGTGCTGCATGTGCCAAGTCTTAAATAAGCATGTGCTGGATGAGGCCTTCACCAGTTCAGATAAAAAGGCTTCTTCAATTGTTTTAATTTACTTAAAACATAATTGTTGACAATAGCTAATGATTGGACACTAAATTATATAAAGCGGCTATTAATTTATCCGAGTATTTTCACTAATTATATAGATCACCTCGTACTTTTCAGGAATGATGTAAGGACCACTTGAATTTTAATGTTTCATGTATTTGTGTCATAGAGAAAACACCCCCTAGATGGTGACAACAATATAAAAATTTGAGTAATAATCTTCAAGGGTAGAAATTGAAAATTTGTGTATCGTTTGGGGTTCAAAGTGCATTTACCCTAAATTTTAAACGAACTCGGATCGTCGGACCTATGATTCGGGTCTGTGCAGTTTCAGACTGCATCTCTTCCATAAACGAAGGAGGTTTGTACTATGCCCTTTACTTCATAATTACTCTTCTTCATCACTAGACACTTATAAAAACCCTAACCACATTTTTCACTCAGATCCACTGATCTTCAACCAATCGCATTGTTAGTTGCCTCCAATGGCGACTGAGATCTCATTCCCCGGAATTTTCTTTTGCAGTGCTTTGGCGGCTTGTTTTGCTGAGGTACTTGTTATTTTGGATCTATTGTTATTACGTCAAACGTTGTAATCAGAATTTAGTTGGATTATTTGTAACAAGCGATAATTTCGAGCTCATTTTTAGGCATTGTTCGAATTCAACCATTCTTTGGTCTGGTTCTGGTTCAATGAGCAATTGATCTGCATCGTGTTACCCAGTGCTGCTTTTGGTTTGCAGTTCACTTCGAATTTCATGCTTACACGGTTACACCAATTGCTTAATGGTTAAAATTTGAGCCAATTCTTTCTATATGTTGATGTATGTGCGTGTGTGTGTGTGAGAAATGTTGTATTTTGCATTGAATAATACTCCGTGAATCGTATTCTTGGGAAATTGTAGATGCGCATTTACGCCAATTCACCATTACATTTCCAAGAGTATCAATTCCACGATGGCAAAGTCAATACAGAAGCTGTTTTTGGTAGCATGGACGCAATGTGAAATTTAACTCGGAGGCTATATTAGTTAAATTTTAAGTAGGTGCTCCAAGTCTAAATTCAAGACATGGATTATGTGCTTCCAATTGCAGCTTAAGCAGTCATCCTATGTGGACTCTTCAACTAGTGGACCAGATGCTGTTCATATGGAACAACGTCCATCAGCATTTCCTAATGGAAAAAAAAGAGTGATGCGAGGGGCTGGGAGGGGTATAATCTAAGTTTATAGCAGCTCATATTCCCAATTCATGTTATAGGTTTAGTGAGGATCTGGACTTGGGAATTGGGTGCAGTCAAAGTTTAAGAAATTTATACCAAAATATCTTTCAGTGGGAAATATATACATCTTTTAATTACATTTTATATGTTACTGCATCACTGCAATTCCTATTTCATAATCTGGTTCTAACCACTCCAATGCAAGTTTTGCCTTTTCATGTCTTGACCTGTTTATTTCTTCATTTCTCTTTGTTGAACATGTAGAAGTTGAAACTCCGTTCCAGGTAAATGAGCCCCAATAGCCAAATATGGGTTCTACTTATATTGATTTTCTGTGAACTGTCTGACTAGATTGACACTAACAATTTTTTGTTGGAACTTATATGCTGTGACAATTATGATAGAACTAACTAGACGTGCAGCATTTATCCCTTCAACAGTGTGAATGAAATTGCTTATCTATGGTGCTTGCATTTCGAATATATGACATATTGAAGTGTTATTTTTGGCAGTTCTGTACTATTCCTCTAGACACTGCTAAAGTTAGGCTTCAGCTACAAAAGAGAACAGCTTCAGGGGAAGAGGCAGGAGCATCTAAGTACAAGGGTATGTTGGGTACGATTGCTACTATTGCTAGGGAAGAAGGGTTATTAGCACTTTGGAAAGGAGTAATACCTGGATTACATCGCCAGTGTCTCTATGGAGGTTTAAGGATTGGGTTGTATGAGCCAGTGGGTATTGAGTATCCCTTGTTCTTTTGAATATTTTGTGCATTCATGATGATTTATTGACGTGCATGCATAAATGCACATTGCATAGGTTAAAGCCTTTTTGGTTGGAAGCAGTCATGTTGGAGATGTTTCCTTATTCAACAAAATACTTGCTGCAATGATAACTGGTTAGTAAATTTGGTGACGACGTTCTGCTAATTTTTTATAATAGTGTGCAGATGTAATTTTTCAGTGGATGACTAAGATTAGGCTTAAAAGTTGCACTCACTCCTTGTTTGCTGATATAAATGTGCCAAAACAGCATATAGGGACTGCTAGTCTTCCTTCTTATTTTAAGTGGGGATTTTTCTCACCAAACAGGTGCTCTAGCAATTGCAGTGGCTAATCCAACTGATCTTGTGAAAGTTCGCCTTCAAGCAGAAGGTAAATTGCCACCTGGAGTACCTAGGCTTTATTCTGGGGCCTTGGATGCTTATCACACCATAGTGAAACAGGTGAGTTCTCTGACACATATTGGGGCAGTATAATGTTAGCTGTTTATTCATTTCATTATAAGTTTAGACAATGAAATAGGAAGGATTGGCAGCTTTGTGGACTGGGCTAGGGCCCAATATTGCACGAAATGCTATTATAAATGCTGCGGAACTGGCTACTTATGATCAAGTGAAACAGGTACCTCATAAATTTGACTCTCTTGCTTGGGAATTCTCGTAGTTGCAAGGTCTAAATGGTTATTTAGGTCTCTAATTTGTTACTTTTATGCAGACAATATTGAAAATTCCAGGGTTCACAGACAATATTTTGACCCATTTATTAGCTGGCATGGGTGCTGGGTTCTTCGCAGTTTGTGTCGGTTCTCCTGTTGACGTGGTAACTCTCCTCACTTGAATTATTTAAACTGCTTGCTGATCTTTAAAGGTTTTAAATAGGACATTCGACCTTATGTATTGGACTTGTTTTTGAGGGATTACGACAAAGCTAGTACCTAAATTATTTTGCATGTAACATTTTTTTCGGAAAGTGCATGTAACATCTTACTACCAAATAATCTCTATATTTGTCCTCTCTATTGTTCCAAGGTTTTCATCCTGATTCCATAATATCATAAGCTGAATTGATGATTTCAGGCCATAGCTAACTTTTCCAGTTTAAAGTTGTGGTGAATAATGTTTGTGATTATACAAGCAATATAATTGAAATTCTTGATGCATGGTACTCACCCAATGTCCACTTGTATGCCTGTTATTTTCCAGGTGAAATCTAGAATGATGGGAGATTCAATATACAAAAGCACCTTAGATTGTTTCGTTAAAACTTTGCAGATTGAGGTGTGTCTCTTTGAAGTTCTGAAATTGTGACTTACACTATAAAATTTACTTTATAGTGTTGGCCGTTATTTCCAGGAGAGAGAACTTTACTATTTCATTTCTTGTAAATGCTTCAGGTCTCACATCACCACCTCTGTTTAAATTTCTACTTCTATTGCTACATTTATCTCATCTTTTTTGCTATGGTGGCACCTTCATATTACTCCATCTATGATGAGTTTTGTGGAAGTGGCTTTAAAATGTTGAAGGCCTTGTCTATTGGCTTACTTCTATATGAAAATGTGAGTGTATATCCCGACTCTTCTGATAATAACTCATGAGCAGTTAATATAATGATATAAATAGATTGGGCTTGTGTAGATTTCCTATTATGAGTCATCTTATCCTTTAAGGTACATTTGTTTGCACGTGTACTAGTAGCACATATAAGCTCTGTCTGTGTGTGTGTGTTCTTCTTTTTAGAGCAACTGTCCCCTTTTTCCCCATGTGCAATGGCACACACTTACACAAAGAAAAGGCAAAGTACTATGCAAAAGAAAAATAAACAAGAGGGGAAACCATGTGTACAACTTGTAGTTTTTGCGAAGTTGAGCTTCGTTGTAATTTCGAGTAAGAGAAAGTATCCACTTAATCTTGACTGAAATTTTAGTTCTGGATGAGGAGATACTGGCAGGAAAATCATCACATATGTCTAGTAACTACTGAATTTGTGCTGGCTAATACTTTCAGGGACCCTCTGCTTTCTATAAGGGATTTCTCCTCAATTTTGGTCGGCTAGGGTCTTGGAATGTCATCTTGTTTCTGACTCTCGAGCAGGTAAGCTTTGCGTATTTTTTCAGTGGTACATTTCTTCTTGCATGAAAATTTAGGCAATTGCCGCACACGTAGATCACATCCACATTTTTATCTGTAACAGCAGAGATTCCAAAATTATTTTCATTCAGCACATGTGATGTGGGACCAATAGGGCAGAAATTAAGAGGGAGAGAAAACAGAGAAGTGGAGAAAATGAGGAAAAAAGAGGTATAAGAAAGAGAAGGGAGGGAAGATGAAGAAAGAGAAGAACGGGGAGAAGCCAAGAAGGAGAAGATTAGACGAGTTAGAGAAAATTTCAACTTTGTAAGCATTTTCCAAGCCAAAATTTAACTTTCCTTAGAATATAATGAATCCCAAAATTAATCTTACAAACTGCCAAATCCAATCAGATGAGTCTTAGGGCATGGATTAAGATGCAACTGTGGAAAACAGGACCAGTATTCACTTCGAGGTTGGCTGCTTTAATCTATCCTTAAATTTCCTAAACTCCCAAGTGAAATTATAAATTATACTACTGATCACTCCCAGTCTCTCCCAACTATCAATTTTATGTCACAACTTTTCTACGTGTTCATGTCTCACAATTTTGTTTCAAGTTTGAAATTAGAGTAAGTTACTCTTTTTGCAATTTTCTGGGCTTGTTGAGGTTTTTCTCTTGCTATCCCCCCCCCCTTCCTCTCCCTCTCCTGCTTATGGCAATGACAAAGAAGACTGGTTTTGTGTTTATAGACTTAAAGGTGATTATTTTCCTAATTTTTCTCCATGACAGGTCAAAAAACTCTTTACATGGGAAGTTTAAACTATATTACCGAGTATTTACGTCTGCAAGTAGGAAGAGTTTTAGCTTATGCTTGGAATATGCCCCAGCGGTTGAAACCTTCGTGGCAGAAGTAAGGTTCCCTTTGCTATCAGTTGCTTGTGTTTCAAAGTTAAGAGATAGAGGAGCCAATTCTTTGAGACTAGAAGTAACCTACGAACTTGATTTATCAATGGCATTTCGCAGCATCTTGAAAACACCCTTCTCTGGTAAAATGAGCTGCTCTGCTCCTATTTATCTTACCTCCAAGAGCTTACTATAAAGCAAAACCGGTGGCAATATTTTGTGCATTACAATGGATCTTGTCATATTGACAGCATTGTAGGGAAAGACCAATACGTCAAGTATCTACGAAAGACCAATACGTCAAGTATATACCAAAGAGCTGGGAAATAACATACAACTTCATAATCTTATAAAATGCATAAGTGGCCAAAAAAAAAAAAAAAAAAAACCTTGACAAGATAGGTTCAGTGTTCAAGGTTTCAAGCTACGGTGCTAGATAAGTTAATGGTCGTTGCTTATTAGCGTAATATTTTGTGAATCTTGTTATGGTTTGAGAATGTTTGTGAGATTTGAGATTCATTTATGAACCCTGTCGATGAGATTGAAAATCAGAGGGAATTTGTATTCAGCTTGTTCTTTTCTTCTTAATTTTTTCGTGCTTTTCAGACCAATTCGGTCTTCATCATCGTCATGCCCATTTTTTTTCATCTTTAATTTTATATCATGCAATTTGTTGTTTAATCACAATATATAAAATGTAGACATCCATCAATTTCTAGTGGTCGAATCCTTGGAAGACTTTCTGGTTCCTTTAGGATCGAGTTATTTGAGTACGTGCATAGCATGGTGGGCTCCAATAGTGGTGGTTGTTACGGCTGATAATTGAATTTAGTTACTTGGGCTCGGCTCAAGTTCGGTTCGTTTTGGATTTGATTCGGATTCGATTTATTTTTCAAATGAGTTGAGTTTAAATAATAGAGCGGCTCATTTATATGTAAAATAATCAACTTATTTAGGCTCAGTTTGAGTTTGGACTCAGCAACGAGCGGAATTTTAATAAGGGTAAATTGTAAAAGGTACATCAAATTAGATTTATTTGACAAAAAATACACATTAAAAAATATAGGGTTATTAAGTACTTAATTTTGATACTTATTGTATCAAAGTACATAATTTGAATTTATTTATTTTTATTGTGATATTTTTTCCCTTCATTAATCCAAGTGTATTTAATGCACCATTTTTCTTTGAAAAGTGGTGCATTAAACATCTCCTAATTTTATAGGAGAACTTATATATATATATATATATATATATATATATATATATATATATATATATATATATATATATATATATATATGTATTTATGTATGTATGTATATACTTGTTGTTAAATCTCTTATCTAAATTTTGAATTATCTTTTAATGCACCTTGATTTATGTATTTTTTTTTAGAAAGTGGTTTTATTTTTAAATTAATTTAATATCCGAATAGTGTAATAGTGTAACAATATCAGTGTAACAACAAAAGTGTAACAATAAAAGTGTAACACTAACAATGTAACGGTATAACAATAATAGTGTAACAAGCTATACACAAAATATTGTATTATTACATTTTGTCAAACATATAGTTTCATATAATTTTATTCAAGTTCATTTGAATTTGTTACTATATACACAAAATTACTGAACTATTTTATTACAGTGTAATTGTTACACTGTCTTTGTTACAGTGTATTAAAAGTGTAACACTAACAATGTAACGGTATAACAATAATAGTGTAACAAACTATTTTACACAAAATATTGTATTATTACATTTGTCAAACATATAGTTTCATATAATTTTATTCAAAATAGTTCATCTCCATTTTGAATTTGTTACTATATACACAAAATTACTGAACACTATTTTTATTACAGTGTAATTGTTACACTGTCTTTGTTACAGTGTATTTGTTACACTTTTATTATTACACTGTTATTGTTATATTATTATATTATTCGGATATTAAATTAATTTAAAAATAAAACTATTTTCAAAAAAAAAAACGTTGAATCAATGTGCATAAAATATAATTTAAAATAAAATCACTTTTCAAAAAAAAAAAATATGCATGAATTAAAGTACATTAAAGATAATTCAAAATTTAAATAAGAGATTTAATAACAAATATATATATATATATATAACAAATACACATGAATTAAGATGCATTAAATACGTTTTTATATGTATTAACAAACACACATGAATGAAAGTACATTAAAGATAAAAATTTTAAATTAAATGACCCTAAAATGTGTATTTATGTCTTTTTAACTCTCATTTTGTTCTATGTACTTTTTATCAAATAATTTAATAAGGTGTATCGGGTTCCAAAAACCCTTTAATAATTTTTTAAGTTCGTTTAGAAAAATGAGTTCGACAATCTTGGTTTAAGCTCACAAGGCTCGACTCAATTATCAATCACAAGTACAATTTAAATTTAAAAAACATAGCATAAGTTATAACTTGTTTGGAAACCTTTTTTTTTTATATTTTAAAAAAGGCAGAACTAATTTTTGTTTTTCTTATGATAAAAATAAAAAGTATAAAACATGTTAGGTAGTCATTTATGTTTAAAAAATGATAAAAACAAAAATAAAAAATTTGTTTGTATTATACAGAAAATTTACCATCTAAACCCTATCACTTAACGCCAGACCACCAAAAACCACCCAACCCACCTCGACCGTCGAAAAATTTGTTTGGTCATCAGTAGTTATTAACTTACGAAGTCTCTTTTATTTATTTATATATTATTGATCAGTGACGTGGTAGTGTAATGAATATTTTTTCCCTAGAAAGAGACTCGCTCCAACCACCATTATCATGGAAGGATAAGCCTCTTGAGATATTTTGCTCCACCTGGAAAAACTACACCACAAATCTCTCTCTCTCTATCTCTCTCTCTATATTACGCGAACGATTCCCAATCCGTGCCATTAGAGAGAGAGAGAGAGAGAGAGAGATGGAGTGTTGCAGGAGGCCGAACCGGAGCGACGTTCATTTGTCGAAGGAGGAAGAGGCAAAGATCGAGGGGGAGACGAGAGAGCACTTCAATGGCTTAGCACCGAGACGTCACACTAAGCCTCAGCGCAGCGAGTACTCTTCTAATTACACTGATGTTCTCTCCAATGGTGATGACAATGGCGTCACTCCGGAATATGCTGAGTTTCAGCGTCTTGAAAATGTTTCCCAGGTACATGTTCTTGTCACTTGCTTTGGAAAAATCTACGTATTCGATTGTGTATCGGTGAAGGTTGCGATAAACATCTATCCAGTTTGATCAATTTACAATTCAATTCAATCAAAATCACAATGTAATGAGATCGTAAATTTTGGGATCCTGAAAAGTTAGGGTCGATTCTTCAAGAATTGGGATGGGTTTGAAGGTTTTTGAATAGATTTTTACTCAATTTGTTTGCTAAATCGTAATTTCACCTGAATAGAACGTAATTTCCAAAAGGATACCGAAAAGGTACTGTAGAAAATCTGTATTGCCTTACTCGTGCTTGGTTTGCGATCTGTCTTCATTCAAATCATCTTCAGGGTGGCTCATATCATATATCAACTTCAAGCAATTATTTTAATTTCTTTATTCTATACATCAAGTGTGCTAACAAAAGTGTGAATCTTCTCTATTTGTGACTGCCAATGGAAAGCATTTTGTTCCAGCAAATACATTTTGGTGAATTACATTGATATTCTTTGACATTTGATGAAATTTGGTGGCAATACATTCACAGATACATGAAGTATCTTGTATCAAAATTTTTAGCGTAAGTCATCAATGGCATGATCATTTATACCTTTTGATCAAAAACTTTAAAAATCAATAGAAATAGGGTTAAATGTGAAATATAGAACTTAACTTTTGTTGGTATCGAACGATTGCTTCTTAAAGCATGCAAAACCCCGAGGAGTCTCTTTATGATTATGACAAAATTTGGGGATGCCATTATAATTTACAATTGGATTTTATTAAGCTTCCATTGATTTAAATAATTGATGCACTCCAAAGTTCTTATTTTAAATTGAACGACTTAACATCCATAAATTTGGCTCAAAGTTACAAACATTCTTCACTGCTTGGAATCCATCGGTTGTTAATGACTTGAGCTGTTTTCAAATAGATTTTGCTGAAAACCTTTCAATCTAAACACAGGGCTTGTTTTGATATGCAACTTTCAAATCTAATAGTATTCACTCTTTTGTACCTGCCTTCTCCAAGTCTATTAGTAAACTTTAGATTTCCTTTGTTTCCTTCTTGTTTGCTGATTGATCCTTTGTATTATTCTTTGTCTAATTTATGATACCTTCACTTGTGGCTCCTTTTCTCTTTTGCTTTCCTTTATTTTTGTTTTTCCGCCACTATCTCTATTGCAGAAACTGGTTTATAATGGAAGTGAAGTGGCAGAGGAGTTTGTGGAAACAGAATACTACAAGGATCTCAACGGCATTGACAAGCAACACCACACGGTATTATTCTGATGGTGCCGCCCAACTTTTCTAAACATTAATGACCAAGCAAAAGAGAAAAGAAATATAAGTCCTCTGGCCACACTGCTCTATCTGACACCAGTATTAGTGGTAAATTATGAGGACTATAATAATGAATGTATTTGCACATAAGTTGTTCAAAGATTTTCGAGTTAATTATCATTATTTGTCTTTTCTCCCTCTCTCTGTCCCATCTTCTTCCAGAGTGCAATCCTTTTCCATGACCAGAAGTACTACTGTCCACCATGATCACAATCACAACACCATCATCCACCCCCATGACCACCACCAATCACCACAACTATCACAACCCAAAGAAAAAAATAAAGAAAGAAAGAAAAGAAATAACATATTTGATGGAGTCATAACCTTAAAGTTGTAGAATCCTCTATTTATATTTTATAAGCAACTAAAACATCACCGATCTCCAGTGGAAAGAGATCAGACCAGTGAACAGAGCACTGGCAATTCATTGTTGACAATGTGCAACACAAACCCCCACTCTATGCCACACCACCACCATCAGCAGTTTTAGATTCAGAAGTCAGAACTAGGTTTTGGATTTCTAATGTCTCTGCCAAGAGATGGGTAGAATTTTTGGATGACTCTAGTCTTTCCATTGGAGGAGGTGGAATCTAGTGTCAAGCAGTAGATTTCAGGTGCATGTTTGTGTTCATGGTCAATACAGAATAGGCTGGAGCTGGGGTTGGATTTGGATTTGAAGACAGGACCATCATATCTCTAACTCGAACCAAAGTATGCGTAAGTTGGATAGGCCAACGGCTGCACATAGACTTTTGTTATCCAGTACTAGACCTCAAAACAGGAATCAAGAATTACTTTCAGATTTCAAGTTATTATTCATTACTATAAGATCTGATGTTATGATTCATTGCATATTCATTCCAGACAGGAACAGGTTTCATCAAAGCAGAGAACACCAATGGCGCGTCCTTAAGACTTGCACCCGATTCTGAAACTTGCTGCCACGCCTCGTGCAAGGGGAACCCAGCAACTAATGACTGGATTCCTGCTGCTGCTGATATGGTAACACTTGAATGCTTGCTTCATAAGGGATTTAACCTCAACTTTTCCACCATGGATAAAAACAGGTCTAACTCTTGAACATGATTGCTTTGTTTCAGATAAATTTCGCCTCTGACAAGCCCAAAAGGAGTGAAAGCTGAGAGATAGAGGCTGGGTATCATCCTATTAGGACCAGCAACCTGCTGTTGTGTTTGTTTTGTGCATTTTATGTGAACGAATTTGTGGAGTTTTTTATTCATAAACCCTTGTACTTGTAACATGCTATTTGGTCCTCTGGATGTTTTTGTGCTCTTGGATATTTATATTCTCAGCCTCCTTGATTTTCCCTTTGTATTTGTTGTCTTCTCCGTTTTTATCAGGATTTAAGGGGAAAACGATCGAGGAAAAACCAACTATGACCATGGATCATATCATCTTGATCTGGCCTTTTGGTGGCGTTAATGTCAATAGTTAGTCAGTGTCACAGGCAATAGTTAGTCAGTGTCACAGGGTAACTTTTATTTTTCTTTCGAGCCTATCTGTAAAGGCGTTACTACAGCAATCAGTCACACTCAAACTCAAGAATAAGGGACAAAAATTTACACAGAAGACACACACAGAGTTTATTGGGACAGAACTCTAAATCTTATATATTGAATTCAATAATTTACAAGGGCTCTCAAAGTCAGAACACTCTCTACCTCATCAGAATGCTTAAGTACCTCTATTTATACAGGAGTAAGGTAGATGACATCCCCATTTGCCAAGGGGTAGTTACACACATTTTTGCTATTCTATAGTATACTGGCTAGCAGCCTTGGTTTCCGTGCGACATTTGGCAGACAGTTCTACCACTTTCAGTAACTGTTGTGGAACTGTCCTTCATCAGCATGCATCTAGACTGGATTTAGACTAGGGATGTCCAGAACTGCCTCAGCAACTGTCTTGATTGTGTCTTAGTATCATAACCGCCCATATCCTCCTGGTCACATGCATTGAACAATTATGTGTCAATCAAGTGCCCACATTCAGTAGCCATGTGCTAGTCAAGTGCCCACATTCAGTAGTCAGCCTAGCTACACGAACCAATGTGCATGCTGGGTTCAACCCATGCCATGCAATCCGAAGCTATGCACCCACATTGCTTCAATTGAGCCCACCACGTGTTGCCATGCTCAACCGAATGTTCTCATACTGCCTTGGTTCGCCCTAATCTGTCGAACCATTTAGCCGCATCACCTTGATTCTAACTTATGGCATACCATGGTGTAAGGTGCCACCAAGATCGGCCATTTGCACCAAAGTCAGTTAAGGTGTGACAAGTCACCCCCACTTGAAGTATCCAACGACCTCGTTGGAATGGAGGCATGGTATTGCTTGATGAGATCCTCGAACTGCCACAATGTCGTCTCTTTCTCTCAAGTTGCTTTCTCCGGTGCTTTCCCTTTCCACTTGACCAGGTAATGAGTTCTTCTGTTTTTCTTGCTCATTCCCTCAATCTTGTGGTCAAAGATATCTTCAGCTATTTCTGTGAATTGCTTCCTGATTGTTGGAGGAGTTCGACGCCAACTATATCTGTTAGGGTCCTCCGGGTCCTCAATATAAGGCTTCAAGAAGGCAAAATAAAAATTGGATGAAGCTTGAGACGACTAGGAAGATCCAGCCTATAGGCCAACCTGCCAATCCTCATTGTTATAAGGAAAGGGTCGTCATAGCGCTGGATTAGTCCCTTGTGTGCCGACTTTCGAGAGATCTTGTTCCAGATTGGTGGGGTCAATTTCAGCATCACTTTGTCACCCCACTTTGAACTTTACTGCCCTCATTTTCTCGTCTGCCCACTTTTTAATCCTCTTCACCGCCTTAGTTAAACAGTCTTTTGCCTCGTCGGTCCGCTCTTGATTGACCCGAGCAAAGCGGTACGCTGTAGGACATCTCCCTTAAGACTTCTGCTTGACAACTTCATGCGGGGTAAGAGGCTGTTGGCTAGTTGTTAACTCAAATGGGCTCATTCCAATGGAAGAGCTCTGTTGGAGGTTATAACTGAATTGGGCTACATCAAGTAAATTCACCCAATTGTCTTGGTTCACTGTGACATAGTGTCAGAGATATTCCTCTAGCATTGCATTAACCTATTTAGTCTGTCCATCTGTCTGCGAATGATTGCTGGTGGAAAGGTTGAGCTGTGTGCCCAACAATTCAAATAAAGTCGTCTAGAACCGGCCAGTAAACCTAGTGTCCCTGTCGCTGACTATGTCCAGCGGAAGACCCCAAAGCTTCACAATATGCTTAAGGAACAACTGAGCAGTAACTTCCGCCGTACATACTTTTGGGGCAGCAATGAAAGTGGCATACTTCGAAAATCTATCTACAACCACAAATATCGAAGTAAAATCGTTCACCTGAGGCAAGCCATTGATGAAATCCATGGAAACACTCTCTTAAGGTCTGCTTGGAATAGGGAGGGGTTCCAAAGTACCCGCCACTTTCTTCCTCTCTGTCTTATCTTGCTGGCACACCAAACAAGTGCGCACATACAGCTTCACATCTGCTTCCATGCGGGGCCAATAATAGCTTTCTGCTAGTAAGGCAAGAGTTCGTTGCTACCCTGGATTTCTTTCAGCAGCATTTGTCGAAATTCGCCTTGACTTCGGCACATAGGGTCTTCTTCCTTTGGCGTAGAGAACACCATCATCTACCCAAAATTGCCGAATCACCCCTTTATGGACCTGCTTCAACAATAAGCTAGTTACTGGATCATCTTTTGTCTGATCCTAAATTCTTTGCAGTATGTCTCCTGCAATCTGGCTAAGTGCAGCAACCGTCCCATCAACAACTGGGATTCGACTAAGAGCATCAGCAACCTGATTTGCACTGCCAGACTTGTACTGCAACGTGAAATGAAACTGGGCAAGAAAGTCCTGTCATCTTGCTTGTTTTGGTGTCAGCTTCTTCATGGAATTGAAACAGCTGGTAGCCACATTATTTGTCAGCACAAGGAAATGCTTCCCCAACAAGTAATGCCTCCATGCATTGATGCAGTGAATGACTGCTGTCATCTCCTTCTCATGTACTGAATACCGTTTCTCGGTATCATTCAGTTTCCTACTTTCAAATGCCACCAGATGCCCATTTTGCACCAGCACCCCTCTAAGAGCAAAGTCTGATGCGTCTGTATGGACTTCAAAAGACAAATCGAAGTCAGGTAAGCGTAAAATTGGGCTAGACGTCACCACCGCCTTCAATCGATTGAATGCCTCCTGGCATTCGTAGGACCAGTTCCATGTCCTATCCTTTCTTAGAATGTCAGTCAGCACTGTGACCTTCTTTAAATAATTCTTCACGAATTTTCGATAATAGTTTGCCAAACCAAAGAAAAAACGCAGTTCAGTAAACTTAGTAGGGACAGGACAATCTGCAATGACTTTAACTTTCTTCGGGTCCATCTTCATCACGCCCGCAGAAATATTATGCCCAAGGAATGAAATTTTCTTCTGGGCAAACTCACATTTTTCTAGTTTCAGATACAACTGGGCTTTTCTTAACTTTGTCAATGCCAACCTAAGATGCTCAACATGCTCCTCAAGAGTCTGGCTATAAACAACTATGTCATCCAAATAAATCACCCTGAAACAGTCCAAGTATTCCCGAAATACATTGGTCATCAAGTTACAGAATATAGCAGGCGCATTGGTTAAGCTGAAAGGCATAACTAAAAACTCATATGATCCGTACCTTGTCACACAAGCAGTCTTCGCCTCATCTCCCTCTACAATTCTGACTTGATGATATCCCAGCCGTAAATTCATCTTGATGAAGAAAACCCCCTTTCCCAATCTATCAAATAGTTTGTCGACAAACGGCACTGGATAATTGTTCTTGACAGTGAGCGCTCTGTAGTCTACACAAAGCCGTAAGGATCCATCATTCTTTTTCTGAAACAGAACAGGGGCTCCATAGGGTACCTTGGAAGGTTGAATGAACCCAATGTCCAATAAACCCCCAAGCTGTCTCCTTAGCTACGCCAACTCTGATGGAGACATTCGATAAGGAGCCTGGGCAGAGATTTTTACCCCTGGAATCAACTCAATGGCATGATCAATCTCCCATCTTGGCAGTAACCTTGCTAGTAATTCTTTAGGTGCCACGTCCTTGAACTCAACCAGCAATTGTTGCACTGGTTCAGGGACTTACAATGCTTTGGATTCCTTTTTCTCAAATAGAACAGCCAAGTATGTTGTTTCCCCCCTTTCGCAAGCCATCTTTTACTTACAAGGCAGACAACGTTTCCCCCGAAGACTTGACCATAGTGAAGGGAATAAAGCAGGGATTGTATATATCCATCACGAATATCTCATGTAAATGCGGCATAACATACACCTTTGCCTTTGTAAGGAATTGAAATCCAAGGATTACCTGAAAATCATCGAGAGGGACTGCCATAAAATCACATGATCCTTGCCAATCAACAACTTTTAAAGGGACTTCTCTTACGACGCCGCCTACTGGTTTTGCCTCTGAATTCACAACTTTAATCTGGCTAGAATCTTTCACCAAAGCCAAACCAAGCTGCTGTACTTCCCGATCAGAAACAAAATTACGGGTTGCACCTGTATCAACCATTGCCTGGACAGTCACATTGTTCAGGCGAATCTGCACAAACATCAACCCCCTATTTTCCACTGTCTCCTCTTTGCGAATTGCATTAAGGAGTTGTAATGGGTTGACTCGTGTTGGTTCGTCAAAACAGTCAGTTTCCTCAGTCATGAGGGCACTAACCTTTTTCCTCTTGGGACAATTTCTGGCACGATGATGGCCATTACAGATAAAACAGCATGAGTCAGCACCTTCCTTTGATGAAGAGGCTTTGTAAGTCGGTTTTTCTGAATTGCCAAACTTCTCAACCTTTTTCTTCTGCTTGTCTTTCTTAGGGAACTTGGCTTTCCCTTTCGACTCATTCTCTAGAGGGTTAGCCTGTGTTTTGTAGTCAACCAACGCATCTGCTGCGGACATAGCAGCAGGTAAGTCCTTTACCCCTTGCCGACGAAGTTCTGCCTGTGCCTAAGTTTGGAGACCAGACATAAAGTTGAACAGTTTGTCTTCCTTTGACATATTTTTGATGTCAAGCATCAGAGACGAGAATTGCTTCACGTACTTCCTCACGGTGCTTGTATGTCGAAGTTTCTTTAATGCATCACGGGCATGCCAAGCCGTGTTGCTGGGAAGGAATTGCTCCTTCATTTTAGCGGACAGAGACTCCCAAGTAGTAATTGGAGAACGAGATTTATCCTCAGAACGTGTTCGCCACCATAATTTAGCATCACCAGATAGGTACATGCTAGTGAGATCTACCTTCTCAGCATCCAAAGTGCGGACTGCTTTGAAGTAGTGCCTCATATCCCACAGAAAATTCTCGAGTTCTTTAGCATTACGACTACCTGTGAAAGGCTTAGGGTCAGACACTTTGGCTTTCTGAGTGCTTTCACTGCCAGAAGCCAAAGAAGCATTCTGCAGTGCCTTCTTGAGCACTGAAACGTCTGTCTCGAGGGAACTCAATCTTTCCCCCATATCATCGGTCCACGTGGAGATCATAGCCAACACGTCAACAACTTCGTTCTTCACTCAACTGAAGTGATCAGATTCAGTCTTTTGAAGTTGTTCATGTGCAACCCGCATCTCTTCAAACTGTTGATACAACAACTCAAGTTGCACAAAGAGAGCCACAACATCACCGAACTGTGGAGAACCAACCAATTCCTCCAAACGTGCCACCCTTTTCCTCAGATCAGAATTTGTTCCGCCAGCCATAGTTGATTTGTTGCCAAAACCATGCTCTGATACCAAATTGTCACAGAGTAACTTTCGTTTTTCCTTCGAGGCTACCTGTGAAGGCGTTGCTAATTCAACCAGTCATACTCAAACTCAAGAATAAGGGACAGAAACTCACACAGAAGGCACACACGAGTTTACTGGGACAAAACTCCCAAACTTTATATATTGAACTCAACAATTTATAAGGACTCTCAAAGTTAGAACACTCTCTACCTTATCAGAATGCTCAAGCACCCCTATTTATACAGGAGTAAGGTAGATGATACCCCCATCTGCCAAGGGGTAGTTACACACGTTTTGCTATTCCATAGCATACTGGCTAGCAGGCTTGGTCTTCGTGCGACACTTGACAGGCAGTTCTACCACTTCCAGTAACTGCTGTGGAACTGCCATTCATTAGCATGCATCTAGACTGGATTCAGACTAGGGATGCCCAGAACTGCCTCAGCAACTGCCTTGACTGTGTCTCAGCATCATAACCACCCACATCCTCCTAATCACATGTATTGAACAGCCATGTGCCAGTCAAGTACCCACATTCAACAGTCAGCCTGGCTACACGAACCAATGTGCATGCTGGGTTCAACCCATGCCATGCAATCCGAAGCTATGCACCCACATTGCTTCAATTGAGCCCACCACGTGTTGCCATGCTCAACCGGGTGTTCTCATACTGCCTTAGTTCGCCCCAATCTGTCGAACCACTTAACTGTATCACCTTGATTCCAACTTATGGCATGCCTTGGTGTAAGGTGCCATCAAGATCGACCATTTACACCCAAGTCAGTTAGGGTGTGACAGTCAACACGTATGGGACTACAGGCCCTACTAGACGGTTGCGTCATTTTATCATTCAAATAATAGAATTAGTTAAAACTAAAAAGTACTAGTTGGTCCAGTGTAACGAACCTGCATAAAATTATGGTTTTGTCTTTCACCTTTGCTCCAAATTATGACTAGATCTTTCATTTTACTTTTTTTCTTTTAGGTACGGTAAAACAACTGAGCTTTCACTCTGTTGTCTGGGTGTTCAAGAGTCAATTTAATCATACCGGGCTGTTATAACTATAAAAATATGCACTCAAAACATTGAGTGAGCAAATTCGAGTGTTTATTGATTGAATCAATCGCTTGGTGGTTGTGCATAAGTTTTATTGTGTCATAGTCAATGATTTCATAAAAGTGTTAGTATAGTTGAGTTTTTGTGTTCTGTTTAATTGAGTTTATTGTAACCATTTGTTAAGTAAATCTACAATCTACTTAATTGTCACCCAAAATTATCGAGATTTATTAATTTTGTTTTATATTAATTTATCGTGTCTAAAATTATCACCTACGAAGCTCAGTTTTAGAGGATTTCGCTAGTGAATAAATTCAAGTGGGTATTTGTGTTTGGTGAAATTCTCACCATAGAGATGGGATTTCAATGTATGCGTATGCTGCCGGTGGGCAATGACATGTTGATAGTCATAGAGATAGAGATGGAAGAGGTGCCTTCAGGCTTCATTGGTGCCTGGGGCCAGTTGTGTGTGCCGGTGCGTGGGTTGGATGATGTCGTCGTGACAAAGAGAGGAGGTAATAGAGCTATGAAGGTAGCGTGACCACCCCCTTAACCATTGACCAACGGTGAAATATTAGGCCTAATAATTTTAGATATGAAACGTAGAATCGACATAAAATTAATACGAAATTAGCGAATTTACTGGCTAGCAGGCTTGGTCTTCGTGCGACACTTGACAGGCAGTTCTACCACTTCCAGTAACTGTTGTGGAACTGCCATTCATTAGCATGCATCTAGACTGGATTCAGACTAGGGATGCCCAGAACTGCCTCAGCAACTGCCTTGACTGTGTCTCAGCATCATAACCACCCACATCCTCCTAATCACATGTATTGAACAGCCATGTGCCAGTCAAGTACCCACATTCAACAGTCAGCCTGGCTACACGAACCAATGTGCATGCTGGGTTCAACCCATGTCATGCAATCCGAAGCTATGCACCCACATTGCTTCAATTGAGCCCACCACGTGTTGCCATGCTCAACCAGGTGTTCTCATACTGCCTTAGTTCGTCCCAATCTGTCGAACCACTTAACTGTATCACCTTGATTCCAACTTATGGCATACCTTGGTGCAAGGTGTCATCAAGACCGGCCATTTGCACCCAAGTTAGTTAGGGTGTGACAGTCAACATGTATGGGACTACAGGCCCTACTGGACGGTTGCGTCATTTTATCATTCAAATAATATAATTAGTTAAAACTAAAAAGTACTAGTTGGTCCAGTGTAACGAATCTGCATAAAATTATGGTTTTGTCTTTCACCTTTGCTCCAAATTATGACTAGATCTTTCATTTTACTTTTTTTTTTTTCAGGTACGGTAAAACAACTGAGTTTTCACTCTATTGTCTGGGTGTTCAAGAGTCAATTTAATCATACCGGGCTGTTATAACTATAAAAATATGCACTCAAAACATTGAGTGAGCAAATTCGAGTGTTTATTGATTGAATCAATCGCTTGGTGGTTGTGCATAAGTTTTATTGTGTCATAGTCAATGATTTCATAATAGTGTTAGTATAGTTGAGTTTTTGTGTTCTGTTTATTGAGTTTATTGTAACCATTTGTTAAGTAAGTCTACAATCTACTTAATTGTCACCCAAAATTATCGAGATTTATTAATTTTGTTTTATATTAATTTATCGTGTCTAAAATTATCACCTACGAAGCTCAGTTTTAGAGGATTTCGCTAGTGAATAAATTCAAGTGGGTATTTGTGTTTGGTGAAATTCTCACCATAGAGATGGGATTTCAATGTATGCGTATGCTGCCGGTGGGCAATGACATGTTGATAGTCATAGAGATAGAGATGGAAGAGGTGCCTTCAGGCTTCATTGGTGCCTGGGGCCAGTTGTGTGTGCCGGTGCGTGGGTTGGATGATGTCGTCGTGACAAAGAGAGGAGGTAATAGAGCTATGAAGGTAGCGTGACCACCCCCTTAACCATTGACCAACGGTGAAATATTAGGCCTAATAATTTTAGATATGAAACGTAGAGTCGACATAAAATTAATACGAAATTAGCGAATTTAAATTAAGTTTTAGTAAATTCGTTTGATAAACAATTGAACTAGTTAATAAACAATTGAACTTGTGAATATGATTATACATGAGTCCATAAATTACATATACCATATAAACTTGGCAACATTGTATTATAAATAATTAGATAAGGGTTAACTAAATTTTAACAAGACACGAACAGGACACGATACAAGTTATTGATAACCCTAAGAAATCACCCTCAAATTAGAAGGTATAGTACAATTTTTGGAAACCGTAAATTATTATTTATTATTTAGTAAACCCTAGGGATATCCTGACCCCCCCCCCCAAAAAAAAAAGCCCTTGGGACATGGAGTGAAGATCCGTTTATTTAATGAGATAATGATAGAAAATACAAGATAGAAAATATTTAAATTTTTCATGTGTTTGGTTAGTATGAAATGAAAAATAATGGAAAAAAGAATTTTCTTTCGTACTTTGATTATCTCACAGCTAATCAATTTTTTTTTTTCTTACAAAAAACAAAAGAAAATACAAGCATGTTGTGATTAGGCTTGACAATCACATGTGAAACGGTTTCGTATCGCGTAGAAAAGGTTCGTGTCAGAAAATCCTCAATCCATACCTCATTGTCAATTAACTAACAATAACCAATACTTCTGGTTGAAATATTGCTTTTTGAACAGAGACAAAAACTTCTTTTTCTAGACTACTGGGCTGAGAGTCATTACATCCTTCTCTATGTTTAATGATTCTGTTAGAAAACTAAACAATACTGAGAATGATTCTAAGGAGAAGGACAGGCCCGGTGAAACCATGGATCTCCCCAAGTAGGATACGAACTCCACATGAAAAATTATTAACTCACCATACATTACACATATTTGATCTATTTATTATAATAATAGAGGTTTGTTGTACTAGAGATTCTTAAAGTATAGAGTTTATTTTATTTTGCTCCCTAATATTTCAATTGCATCATTTTGGTCTACTAAGTATTGAACCTGTTTTTATGTAGTTCCAAGTACTATTTTTTATCATAGCTCTTGACCAAAATTTGAATAACGCATGATCAAAATTATGTAATTTGGATATCTCTTCGACTACAATTTGGATATAAGTTTGGTCAAGAGTTATCAAAATCATTTTTTTTTCCCATATTTAGGTTTTACGTGACAAGTTTATAATAAAAAATTGTTAGCAATCTGCACGCTGTCTGCTTGAAGGTCCATAAAAATATATTTAATACTTTAAGGACTAAAATGATGCAATTGAAATATTTGGATCAAAATGAAACAAACCCAATATTTTGGGGACTTCCAGTGCAATTAATCCTAATAATAAATCATGGCTGAGCATGGCTAAGCAAAAAACTAAAGGTAAAAAATAAATATTAAATTACTACCAAATTCGAATGAGTCTGAGAGATGAGAGACTTGAGATGAGAGAGGTTGAGAGACCTATCTTTTTTTTTTTTGGAATTTATAGTGTCATTATTAATGAGTTAAACATGTTGAAATGAGTTTATGAGTTAAACACGAAATCGGTTCGTTTATTTTAAGATTCTACCGAGTTAACCAGTTAACCACCTGAATATGTTAAGATTACACTCAAACCCGTTAAATCCGTATCGGATTTGTGTTGATTTCAAGAATTGTGTCTAAGATTGTCAGAACTAATTGTCATGTATAATCCAACATTCCATTTTACCCTTAATTTTCTTAAAATATTTTGTTGGTTATTAATTTTAGAAAAGTTTCTTATAGATTTGGTTAACTATATAATTTGACAAAAAATCAGAATTCGGGTTGATCCTTATCCAGAATTAGATTAAGAGCCAATTTTTCTAAATTTTATGCTTCCAACATTCCCTGTTGGACAACATGCAACGTCTAAAAGAGTATTGTACATTAAAGTTGCCATCGTGGAAGCACCACCTGTCTACTCCAAGCTTGGCTAAGAATTCAAAGTTTGGTCTTACTGCATCATGAATTTGTTGAAAATAAGCTTAATTTTACTTGTTAGTACACCAGATGAATTAGTGAAAAGTGGCCATTTTAGGTTCATCTTGGACCAGGGTAACATAATCTGTCGAATGACTATTTATTTTATCTTAAAACGATATGAACTATTTTTTTATTTTTCGGATTTGAATTATCTTATCCCTTATTGTACGGACAGGGAAGTGATCATCATGAGTCACTTATACTACCTAGATTGCCAACCATGCTTGATTGATCATGCAGGAAGAAATCATCTCTTACTAGCTTTATATAATCTACATGACTCTTTCTACAAAACAATAGAGAAAAGGGGGAAAGAAAAAGACACCGAGATGAATTATTTCCTAACTATCCAGTAATATTGTAATTACATATCTCTTGATATGTTCCAAACTTCTAAATAAATAAATATTTACTATTTTTTACATCAATTACAAAAAATAATTTATAATTAAAATGGTTCAAATGTATTGCACTGTGTACACCTAGTATATAAGAGTAAATGTGTGTAATCAAAAAACTAACCTAAGTGAATAATACAAATAACACTCCAATAAGAACAATACTATGGAAAAATATCCGAAGACTTTATCTATTATCTACGCAATTAAAACTAGAATGTCTAAACAAATAAAATCACAAAACATGACTATCAGAAGTTGATGTCAAAATACATGGAATTACCCATCAAACTTATTAGTCTTAACGTCTCTCCGTCAAGGAGCGACTCAATACCAGGGCATTAGCAGAAATATTCGTCAATGATGATGAAGGGAATGTCATTGCAAATTCATTTGAAACTTCATCCCCAAATAATGCAGCCATGCCAACTCCTGCAACATTCATAAATACTTCGGGCAGCATAGCATCCCCATCCAAATGCTTCATCACTTGCCTCATGCTAGGCCTAGCCATTGGATTATAGTGCGAGCAAAGCAGACCCAGCTTCAAAACCAACTCCATTTCCTCCACCACAAAGTCACCTCCCAATCTCGGATCACTTGCCTCGAGGATTGCTCCTTCTTTCCATTTCTCCATAACCCACTGAACCAAAACCATATCATCAGTCAATCCCTGTACCTTTAGAAGCCTTTTTCCGCAAGCCACTTCTAGCATAAACGCTCCAAAAGCAAAGACATCTGTGCTAGTAGTTGCCTTGCCAGTTCTAACAAGCTCTGGTGCTATGTACCCAAAAGTTCCAACCACATGGGTTGTTTTTGGATTTTCACCATGATCATACAATCTAGCAAGCCCAAAGTCTCCGAGCTGTCCATTAAAATGGGCATCCACAAGGACATTACTGGCCTTGACATCTCTGTGAAGAACAACTTTTTCCCACTCTTCATGTAGATACAGAAGGCCAGATGCTACCCCTCTAATGATTCGATAGCGTTGTGCCCAATTAAGGCTTGGATTCTCGTTCCTGTGTAAAAACTTGTCAAGACTTCCATGGGGCATATAATCATAGACCAACAGAAGCTCTCCCTTTCTCCGGCAATAGCCGAGGAGGGCCACCAAGTGCCTGTGCCTGAGTCTTCCCAAGCTGGCAATTTCAGCCACAAATTCCTTCATCCCTTGTGTTGAGTCATGGGAGACTCTCTTCACTGCAACTTGGGCATTGGAAGAAGGAAGTACCCCTCTATAAACCTGTCCAAAACCTCCTACTCCAAGAACCTCTTTGTGGTTGAACCCATTGGTCGCTTTGTAGAGATCCTTGTAGGAGAACCTCTGAGGTCCATACTCCAATTCCCAATCCTCTAGTATTTCTGCATACTTTCTTCTCCTTTGTATGTAAGCAATCCCAGCCATAGTGATGATCAGCACAACCAGTATTGTTGAGGCCGAGAATCCAACATATCGATGTAATTTTTGTTTGGATTTTCTGGGTTGGGGAACTGAAGGAAGCTTTGAGAGTTCTAGACTTTGCGCTGGTCCTGTTTTGTTGAAGCTCCACCCCAGGATGTACTGGTTGCTTACTGACACTGCTCCTGTCGATGCAGAGAAACCAACATACATAAACTCCAAGAAAACCAGAGAAAGATCAATGGACGCCGACAAGAGAGGTTGATTTGGTTTTGCGATTCTGATGGGAGCTATGGTAACGAAGATAATCTTTTCCACTCCATCATAGTCTATCCAAACCTGCGTTGGGGTTTTACTCGTGAGTTCCAAGATCTTCTTGATCCCATCTGTATTAGGAAAATATGACCCTGGAGCAGATACAACCGATTTTAGGCTGTTTACATCAATTCCCACATGATTGCTATTTATATCTTCAAACTCAGGGTTCTGCAGAGTATCAAACTCAACTGCAAGCACATGGTTCGAGGCAAGGCCGTTGTTTGAAGTATTGAAAACGCCCAAAAACTGGTCTGTCATGCCTCCCTTGGTGAAGCTCAGAGATGGTGAGATGGTGAAGGCAAAGCCGTTGCCTTTAGGATTTGCCAGTGTAGGAACATTGGAAAAGATAAAATAGGTGGAAAATGAAAGAGATTGAGCTGACCCAGATAAGGAAGACGTGTTAAACTTAACAGGAATTTGGAAGAAAGCATGGCCAGTAAGTTGGTGGGAAGTGTTGGTTAGCTGCAATAGGCCATTGGGATGGATTACTGCTTGTCCATCAAGATACAGTTTGGATTCACGAAAGCCATGGTAGATGAACTTGGTGCCATCTTGATCTAAGGCCAAGGGTTCGGTAGATATTAGGAGGAAGATCAAGAAAATTAGACACCTTGGAGGTGTAGCCATTAGGGATGGCAGTGAACCAGAGTGAAAAGAGGGAGGCGGGGGAAAAGAGGGAGGGGCGCATGAGCGAGGGTTGAAAATTGAAACAAAAGAGGGTGGGTGGGGCTGCTTAGGGTCAGAAAAGAAGAAACGAAAAGAAAAGAAACGAAACAGAAAAAGAAGTGGAAAGTGGGTGGGGGACCGGTCAGGTAGTCTGTTAAAACACGACACGATTAATCAATATGAATCAAAATAAATTTAGTAAATTTGAGTAAGATATTAACGAATTTAGGTGATAAATAAATTGACATCCCAAATATGTTTAATAAATGGATCGTATTCAGGTAAGATCTATCAAACCGTTTATCAATGAAAGGAGATGAGGAAGATTGAGTTGCCTATAAAAAATAATGACCTTTTACTTTTTTTTTTTTAAGTCTTCAAGCCTTAATTGTCCCACATTGAAAAATGAGAGGAGATAGAGAGAGTTGAGTTGCCTATAAAAAGTAATGACCTTTTACTTTTTTTTTTAGCCTTTCAAGTCTTATTTTTATGAGATTTGACAAAAAAATCTTCTTTTTTGAGGTAAGTGCAATTGTCAATAAAAAAAATAGAGTTTTAAAATTTGTTAATATAATTTTTTTAAAAATTTGTGTTTGTTATTTGTTTATTAAACGGGTAGTATTCATGTTGAGATTTTTTACCCGTTTCGTGTACGGATTTATATATTTTTCACCCGTCACCCGTTTAACTTGACATGTAACCGTTTAATCTGACACGTTTGAAACCCATAAGGTGAGGGAGGGACAGAAACATAGAAAAGAAAAGAAAAGAAAAAGAAAAAGAAGAAGGGTCCACACTTGAAAATGTCATATATATATATATATTTTAACGGGTTTACAATAATGGGATGGAGGGGGGATGAGTGTCAGTCTATTCTTACATTTATTCTCGCACGGATTTATATGAATATTTTTGTATATGTTCACCGTCTAATACGTATAGTTTATCTCTAGTCTAAACGAGATGAATTTGGACGAAATTTTTTTTTTTTTTTGGTCCACTGTCATCCCTGGTAGCAATCAAAGAAATGAGAGAAGGCTTCTTCCGTCTTGAATTTTTTTGACTTTTTAATGGGCAAAATGTTTATCTTATTGAGGAAAGGCTAACAAGCTCAACCATCGCCGCCATTGTGGGTAAAAAACATTATTTAGACATAATTGATCATTAATTTTGTGACTTTGAATGGTCTAAATATTTTATGATCAAATTATTGAGGAAAGGCTAACAAAGTCTACATTACGTCATTGTTCGTGATAAATGTTATTAAAACATAATTAGTCTTTAATTTTATGGCCTTAATGATCTAAAATATTTTCTGATCAGATTATTGAGGAAAGAATAATATAGTCTAACATCACGTCATAGGGCATGAAAAAATGCGATTAAGACATAATTGATCTTCCTAAATTTTGGGATCAGTGCTATTGTAAGATTAGAGTCAATATAAATTGTATAATTTAGCCTCGAAACATTAGTTTTTCGGTGTAATAGTTAACAACTTTAATGACTAGATGCTAATGTGATCCATTAATTTGAATTGTACCATCTCACTTTAAAAATAAAATTTGGTAAAAATATTTGTTCACCGTAGCAACACTCTCGCTTTAACTATGGACTTAGACTTTTCTGTTCTTGCATCACAAAAGTAATCTGGATATCATGACCTTGGACATGTATGGCTGTCGTAGCTTCTAGGTTTCTATCATGAAAATGTTATACAAGTTAAATGAAATTCAGAAATTACAATTTAAATACATATTATCTTTTAAATGAGTGAGTCTTATTAGAAAAAATTGATGGGACATATTCATCCAAGGGATGATATGTATTTAAATTATAATTTTTTGAATTTCATTTGAATTGTGTAACATTTTTTTTGAGGGGGGAGGGAGAGGTGGAGGGGGAATTTGAACTCTTGACCTCAAGAAAATAATGTTTTTATAAGATAAAGAGTACCATTTGACTAAATACCCGTTGATTTGTATAACATTACTCTTCTATCAAAGGTGATGCGCCCAAATCCAACTGAATTAGGCCCAAAAAATCCAGCAAGCTCAAGTCAACTAAATGACAGGTCAAGTCCAGTTTGTAAATCCGGCCCAACCCAAGTTCCAAGGAGTTTAGGAAGAATTATAGCACATGGGGAGAAATCATCGGGATACACACCCTCGATGATCAAGACTACCTTAATTTACTTACCTTTTGTAGCTATCCTCCCCGAAGATCTAGTACCTTCACCCTCACGTCACCGCCTCAATCAAGACTTTGTGCCTATAAATTGTAAGTCTTCTCTACATGAGAGGACACATTAAGCTCTACTTCTACACCACTCTACACACACTTTCTCTCTCCAAGCTATTGCATCTCTCGCGGAGCTAACCAATGCTCTTTCTCTTGTTCACCTTACTTCATCAATAAAGATCCTGCGGCCACCGTTGCCGTTTTCCAAAATGAAGTAGGTTACCCGGATCGATCCACTATATATCTGTGTATTGACTCAATATTTACATTACTGTCATTGATTGCTTTATTTATTGTCCATTAATTACACCTTATCACACACTCGACTGTTGATCTTGTACGAGATTATTTTGTACATCATCAAAAGTCACATAAGTCTTGAGTTATGCTAATATCTTGAATATTGCTTGATTCCAAGGGCACAATGCAGAACCCCTCCCCCACCAAAAAAAAAAAAAAACAAGAGGCTTGAAGAATAGGGTGTGATGGATCCATCCAATATGCTTTTCCTCTAATTCTCTAAGTAATCACGTCACTCGTTATGAATATAAGAGAAATTCAATGTATCTTTTTTGGGTCATGACTATAGTGTATTCGAGAGCATCAATCATTCCTACAGGTGATCTAGATCTAGATATATAAGAAAATATTAGGGTAAATTTTAGCCACATCCCCTAACATTTGGCTATATCACACGGATGCGTCTCACATTTTACAAAATACACTAAGGCCCCTTTCGTGTGAAGGCTGTAACATCTTTAATGAAAAAACTATTTTGTCCTGCGCTTACTGAGTACATTGATCTAGATTTACAAGAAAATATTTAGGGTAAATTTTACCCACATCCCCTTACATTTGTCTTTATTACACAGACACCCCTCATAAAGAAAATTCAAAGGTTTGTGTCTAGACAGAAGAATATGCACATTTAGACGCGTGTTGCTTAGAGGCCAAGACACACATGGGCTTCCGGATGGAAGAATACAAGCGTCCAAATGCATGTTGGAATTTGCCGAGTATCACAAGTTGTTAACGAGAATTAGGTTTTTGCTACACCATTGTCTATTTAAAGTGGTGTAGTTTTATATTGCATTCAACCTTTTTACCAGCCGTTTCTCTTATAGTTTTTTGTATTGTTTTTATGACCAGCTAAAATCCCAATTAAAGTTAGGAGAGATACTTTCAATAAAATAAGGTATTTATTTTTGATCCAATGATTTTAATGCTTGATTTATTCTTTTAATTCAATTTTTGTCTTCTAATAAAATTTTTGCTCTGTATAATTTATTGATTTGTTGTGTCATGTACATCAAATGCTTGAGATTCCCTACGAGTCAAATAACTGATTATTTCACGCTTGAATTAATTGATTAAAATTTTTATAAGATAACTGATTTATTATTGAAATAAATTTAAGATTTATCTATTAGAGAACTTGATTTATCGTAGACTCTAGATACGGTGAATACTTATAATCTGCATGTGAATACTTAGATTTATTTGGATAATTTATTGGTTATAATTTTTGATTTTTTTCATTTTATCGGTGCAAAATATTCTGATTAGAATCACCTTCGTTAATTTCCCAATTGAGTTCAAAAACTGAATTATTAATAATTGTCGAGTGAATTTTAAAGAGTA